TTCTGTCCCGTGTTTGAATCCCACCTCCTCTGTTGTATTTTGCTCCCTAGTGTTTCATTTGAGTTTCTTTAGTTCTTGTATCTGATTTTGTAGTTGGTTTTGGTTTTGTTCCTTGTGCCCCTGATTGTGTCTTTACATGTTTAATTCCAGTGTTAGTTTCTGTTTCCTTGGTCAGTTCTTACTTTACCTGTTTTCAGTTCCTTTTGAGTTTATTAGTTTCACCTGTGCCCTGTTTCCTTGGTCTTTGTTAATTAGCCTCACCTGACCCGTGTTAGTCTCGTTACCCCCTTAGTACTTTTTTACGCGTAACTTTTTTACGCGTAACTTTTTTACGCGTAACTTTTTTACGTGTTTGGAANTTTAATGTGTATGAATGAACCATGTGTCATGTGTGTTTTGTGGTCTAATTTCAGTGACTTATTTTTTTGTTGTTTTCAAGAATCACGCATAACTGTTATTTTCTCCAATATAACGACTTGTAGCCCAGTTTCTGCTGAATACAATGTTATCAGACTTTAGACATTTATATGTTTATAAGTAACTGAAAAATACACAAATGTCAGGACATGTCAGAATCTCTTCAGGGCTCCAAAACACCTTCAGACTCCTAAGGGTTAAGGGTCTTGCTCAAGGGCCCAACAGAGTAGAATCACTCTGGGCATTCATGGGATTTGAACCAGCAACCTTTCCTCAGAGCCACCACTCCACCCTGCAAAATGTCAGTCTAAATAAGCTCGCTTGGGGAGAACTTAACTAATAGCTCAGAGTTGTTAAAATATTATCTAGTTCTGATTTAAAGGAACCCAAGGATTCAGCTTGCAGTACGTTATCAGGAAGACTATTCCATACTCTGACTACACGCTGTGTAAAGAAGTGCTTCCTTAAATCCAGTTTGAAATGTTCTCCCGCTAATTTCCACCTATGGCCACGAGTTCTTGTATTTGAACTAATGCTGAAGTAACTATTTGGTTGAACAGCATCCAAACCTGTTAGAATCTTATAGACCTGGATCATGTCCCCCCTCAGTCTCCTTTGCTTGAGGCTGAACAGATTTAGCTCAACTAACCATGATGTTTAGGTCATGTTGCCCTGCTAATGTGAAGAGCTTTGTTGCTTCAGGTTTTTATCTAGCTAGGATGGGATTGTTCTCTGTATTGTTCTTCTTTGAGTATTTGTCAAGCTTAATAATTATATAGGTATCTTGGAAGAAACAAATAATGTTAAATGTAGAGTGATATTTGATTAATTATTTTAGATGGATGGATGGATGGATGGATAAAGGTTTTATTCAGGAATCAGTTTCATTTTATGTAGCACAACTTGTCTACCACAATTAAACATTATCCACTGTAATGGAAAATTGAATTTTCCACTGAATGAAATGAATGTTTGCTCCTCTCCCAGGCGTTTAAAGTTAAGGCAGAAGAACATGACATTATTCTGCAGAGCGTTCAAAATTTAAAGGTGAGTCTCATTGATGTTTGCAAAGAATAAGAATGAGCTAAAGAAGTAATGGATGTTAGACATTTTCTTCAGTGGAGGTTATAGGTCATCACAATCATTTGTTTTTGTTCACTTGACTTGCATTTAACCGTTATGTGTATATCAACATCCTATTTCAGAGGGCAAGATTCTCCCTGAAGGTATCTGTAATGAAAGGAAAATATCTTCTGGAAAAGATCCTAATGGTAAGCGTTCCCATAATTTGATATAACTTATACAGTTTTGTCTGCATATCTGAATGAACAATGCTTGAATGTCCTGAAAAGTGACAGCATTTTCTATAATTAATAAAATTAATAAGTAAAAAGTTTAACATGTGATTTATGTACACAGATCATGGTATTGTGAGAATTCAGAGATCAACAATATGTTTTCCAATCAATCCATCAATTAAGTGATATTTATTAGCACAGTTTATTAGAAAGTTTGTAACAAAGTGCTTTATGGTAATTTACAGTAATTATTCCAGGAGTTCAAAAACAGGAAAAAAACATGGGGTATTCCAAATAATTTCAAAACACAGAAGTGTCATCAATCAATTATTCTTGCAAAAAGTACAAATAATAAATGCAGTTTTAAACACTGCCATTCAAAAGTTTGGGGTGCCTTAGAAATGTCCTTATTTTTTGTGAAAACATACATGAAATGAGTTGGAAATATAGCTAAATAAATAGGAGATTGTTTTTGACAAAGTTAGAAATAATCATTTTTGAAATTAAAATAATAATTGTGTTCTTCAAACTTTGCTTTCGTCAAAGAGTTCTGCATTTGCAGCAATTACCGCCTTGCAGACCTTGGTCATTCTAGATGTCAGTTTGTTGATATTATCTGATGAAATTTCACCTCCTGCTTCCTGAAGCATCTCCCAGAAGTTGGAATGGCTTTATAGGCACTTCTTACATACCATTCGGTCAAGCTGCTCCCATAACAGCTCAATAGACTTGAGATCCGGTGACTGTGCTGGACACTCCATTGTACACAGAATACCAGCTGGCTGCTTCCTCCCCAAACAGTCCTTGCATAGTTTGGGGCTGTGTTTGGGTCATTGTCCTGTTGTAAGATGAAATTGGCTCCAATTAAGCATCGTCCACAGGGTGTGGCATAGTGTTGTAAAATGGAGTGATAGCCTTCCTTCTTCAAGATCCCTGTACAAATCTCCCACTTTACCATCACCAAAGCAGCCCCAGACCATCACATTGCTTCCACCATGCTTGAAAGATGTTGTCAAGCACTCCTCGAGTGTTTTTTCATTTGATCTGCATCTCACAAAATTTCTTTGTGATCCGAACACCTCAGACTTGTTGATTTGTCTATCCATAGTACTTTTTTCCCAAATCTTTCTCTGTCCAGTGTCTGTGTTCATTTCCCATCTCAGTCTATTCTTTTTATTACCATTCTGAGATATGGCTTTTTCTTTGCAGTTCTACCTAGAAGGCCAGCATCACAGAACTTTTGATCAGTAGTCTTGGAAGACAGCAGCTGGGAGAGTGGTCCTGATCCACAGGCAGTGGATGATCAGCCTGATTAGTTAATAATAACAGATGTTTTATTGACCCCCGGGGGAATGTCTCTTTATGCCTCCCCCAACATGTTCACTGTATGAGAGAGCAAGCTGACCACCAAGGACAGCCAACTAGTACTGAGGGAGCTAGAGGTTAAGGGCCTTGCCCAAGGACCCGCAGATGCACCAAGGCTGGGATTGAACCAGCAACCATCTGGTTATAGGCACAGAGGCTTAGCCCACTGAGCCACACGTTAGTTAACATTGATGTATTGCTATCAAATATTGCTCATAGGGTACAGCGACCCCTACTGTATGCTGGGAATTCTTCTGGGTTGGAACCGTCACGAACTTGAAGGACGGAAGGAACGTTGGTTCAGCATCCACAAGAAGAAGGAAAAAATGGAGAGGCTTCCCAGTGTCAGGGACAGGCTCTCAGAAAAGTGCATCCAGGTCACAAAGGTCAAACATGAGACACTCCACCCAGTATGGAACGAGCACTTTGTCTTGTGAGTAAAACTGAACCACGCTTTCTTTCGTTTCTTTTAGCTCTCCCTTCTCCCTGTTATTTCTTTAGCTGAGAGTATACCAGTGGGAAATCATTTAATAGCTTTGTTACCATTTGCTGCTGTTTATATTCTAATAGCAGCAACAGCAGCAGGCCTCTCTCACTATATAGGATGCACAGGAGCTAATGACCCACTGTTGAACATCATTAAGCAGGTGGCCTGGAAACATGATGTTTTTTAGGGTGACATGCAATCTCTTTGTTCTTCTAGTGAGGTTGACGATGTCCAACGTGATCTGCTCCATCTAGACATATGGTGAGAGACCATTCAGAAACAAAAGCCTGAGCAATGTGCTACAGTTCTGTATTAACATAATGTCTCCTTATGTGGTTCTCCAGGGATCATGATGACGACGTTTCTGTAGCAGAAGCCTGTAAGAAACGTAAGGAAGTCAGGGGATTGAAAGGTACTGTATGGGCTGGTATTTCGCGTGTAGAGAAATGTAGGTTCAGAGACAAAAGCCTCAAAACAGAAAAGTTGCAGATGTAGTTCTTGAGGGTGTGGTCGACATATTATGGGTGACAAATCAAAACAGAATACACCAATAGATACAATTCAGTAAGAGTAAGATCCTTAGGTTAATCAAATCAAAATATTGCTAATACAGTGTTGGTTTGCTACTTCAGATATTTCAAGCAGATTGCTAAGTCTGTCCGAAATAATAGCACCTCTGCATCATCGGCAGATGAAGACGTAGATGACTTCCTTGGCTGTATCAACATTCCCATTAATGTGAGTTGTTTTGCAGCCTGTCAACCTATATCTGATGCTTAGTTCCTTTTTGCCAACTGGTCAGTGTTGTCCAATGACTTTACTCTGCCATCTCATGTTCCTTCAATCAGGAGATTGACAGGTGGTTTAAACTTCAGCCACGATCCAGCGCCTCCAAAGTGCAAGGGGAATGTCACCTGATACTGAAGCTTTTTTGCACTCAAGTATGTGAGGTAGTCAGACATAGGAGAGAATGAAAATCATGACCCAGTGAAAATTCTCGGTAACACTTTCAATGAATGCCATGTCTATAAGAATCTATGAACACATTCATAAGACATTATAATGCATTCATATAACATTGCAAACATTGTTATAAATATTTATAAAAAGGCATAACCCATAAGCCATGTTTATTATATATTATAAATGCTTCATGAAGCTCTCATATATAATGCACTATAGATACCTTCATAATGCAGCATACAGTAAGGCATCCTTAATTCTTATACTGGCCATTATACTGTAATACATTGTGAAGGTGTCTATAGTGCATTATAGATAAGCGCTTCACTGGAGCTAATGAAGTATTACAATCAGCAGTATAATGAAAAGGTGGGGACTCAAGTCACCGACATGACTCGACTCGGACTTAAGTCACACATTTGATGACATGTGACTCAACTCAGCAAAACTAAGGGAAAGACTTGGACTCGACTTGGAGCCTGTGACTTAAGAAGACTTGAGATTATAGTCCCTCTCTGGATACCATAATGTTAATTTTATCATTTCAGTGTATATTAATTCTCTGCTATCTGCATTTTCAGTTGGCTGAATGCAATAGTTTGTTGGAAAAATGCAATGCTCTATGAATATGAATGGACATAAAAACTGGGCAACTGTGAGTGCACACTCTCTTTTCAACCTATCTCTGCCTGTAAAGAACGTATCTTATGACCTGCTGTGGCTGGTGTTTGCTGCAGTAAGTTTTAATCACTAAAGGTGAAAAAATGATGTAAGTAGGGACTCAAGTTACATGACTCACAACTCGACTTGGACTTGAGTCACAAATATAACAACTTGTGACTTGATAGCACAAACAATGTAAAGACTTAGACTTGGATTTGAGGGCAAATGACTCAGACTGTAATGTTTTGACTCGAGAATTGATTCAGACTTGCTAAGGAATGACTTGTTCCCATCCCTGCTATAATGCCTTATGACTGTCAACAGAAGATGCTGTAACGCTTTATTAATTCTTATACCAGCCATCATAATGCATTATGAAGGTATGTATAATGTGTTATAGATGACAGCTTCAAGCAAAGTGTTACCAAATTCTCTTCTATGTTCTGTGACTACATTTGGTCTTCAGCCTATAGCCAACTTATGTCTGTAGCTCTGTATGGTAAGAAAAAAAAATACACAAAATTGTTTTGTTTCATCAGAGGGACACATCTTTAAGTAAGAGAGACTCGCAAGTGACCCTTTATGAAAAATTGCTGAGGCAAATTCTTCAGTATGAGCATCTGCAGGTACAAACTCGGATTAGGTTTTCACTTTGCCTTAAGGATGAAAAGGGGATGTAAAATGATGAATGTGCAACGTGTAACGTCCTGCTCAGAAAAGAGAAGGCTACAGCTGGAACGGTGAGCTGAGTGAACCAGCAGGGGCCGTGCTGTGCTACCATGCCGTGCAGACCAACCTGTCAGCCCTCCAGCTGGCCATCATGTAAGCCACGAAATGGGAAAATACAGCTGTAACAGGGGGCCCACTAATCCAGGAGCCAGCGATATATCAGTCATACATTTCCTATTCAGACTCAGTTTTACAGTATTTATGGGTTTATATAGAATATCATCTTTAATATTTAGATTATTGATACCTGGAGATTAGAAAGTGTGTGTGCGCGCGTGTGTGTGTGGATTAGGTTTAAATTACATTGATGTATATTACAAAATGTCCCCCACAATGTGATGAAAACCTGTTATTTTGACATTGTGGGGACCATTTTTTACATCCCCACAAAGATATGTGAATGTGATCAAAAAAGTAAAAATGCCGAAAGTCTTGTATTTTGTTTGGTTACCTATGGTTAGGGCTGGGTAGGGTTAGGGTTAGGTTTAGGTTTAGAGTTGGGGATAGGGTTAAGGGAGTCATGTTGGGATTAGAGGTTTCCCCACAGAAATGAATGGAGAGTCCCCACAAAGATTCTTACAACCCTCTGTGTATGTGTGTGTGTGTGTGTGTGTGTGTGTGTTTGTGTGTGCCTGCCCTGTGATGGACTGGCATCCTGTCCAGGGTGTACCCGTGCTGGTGGGATAGGTTCCTGGATGCTCTTGTGACTCCATAATGAAGAAGGGGCTGGATGGATGGATGGAAGTTCCCAAAGTTGCTCTTGTTGTGTCTCATGTTTTCTGGGTGTACTCCTTGCAGAAGATGGAGATGCTACAGTATGCACCACCGAGTCCAGCCGCTATGTTACTCCTTCCTGCTTGACCTCATGAAGACCCTGGAGGCAGAATGGGAGATGTCCAATGTAGAAGGAGAGATGGTCAATTTGAATTGTTTATCTATCTGCTCATTTTAGAATAAAATGATGCACTTTTTACTGGCTTGAAATACCATCATCAATAGAGAGAGATGAAATAATCCATGTATGACTGTGTTTCTGTAATAATAGACCTTTTTGGCTTTTTTGTAGGAGACACATGTGGCAGAGAGCTTTGATCTCCATGTACAGCATTGCCTGTCCCTGATACAGAGCCTGCCTCAGGTGTTCCTGTGCTCCAAGCCCAGCTCCATCACACGCTGTGAGCTCATGCTGACGTAAACAGTCACCAAACCTCTTTGGTCACAGCAAATCTCTGCCCTCAAATTTTTGCTTATGAAAAATGTCACTTTCACAAGTATTAAGCACTTAGCTGATATGAAACCTGGAACTGAGCTTTTTCCAATGGCAGCCTGAACTTATCTAAGAAGGGAGACGGTGAAAGCCTCTCTCAGAGCCTGTCGGCTCACAGAAAGCCATTGTCTTCATACTTTCACTACTTTGAGACTTAACAAGTACCTCCAATTGAAAGCTGTGAATTACTGTATGCATTCATTCTGTGGTGGTAAGGTTTCACAGCAGAAATCCCAAGCTGTCAGATGTGTTTGATCCGCCTTGCATTTCTATTAATGCTGCATAAATAAGTGCCTTTGCCAAAAAAAAAACATCCGTAAATTAATGTTGGTAACATTTTACTTGATGGAGCACAAGTAATTAGTAACTCAGTTACTACTCAAGTACAAATTATGAACAAATATGGTAACTGCATGAAATGCATGAACTGTTATAATCGATTAATGATAACGAACGTGGGATCAGTACGTAACACGTAGTTTCTGGTTAATTAATACATTAAGTAAGAGTGTACTATTATATTTGTGTCCCCTCTAGTAAAGTGATACCCTTTTTGTTGTTGCATTGCGTGTGTCTCCTAGGGGACTGGGACATATTCTGACCATGCAGGCCTTTAAGAAAGTCTGCCCTCATCACCAGTAGTTGAACAGAGAGAGAGCTTCAGTAATAAAGGTACAGGACAAAAACCAGATACAGTATCATCAAATGTTTGGCCAATGTAATTGCTAATTTCTGCATTGCTTTCATCTTTCATAAAACTAATTTTACTTCTTTTTTTAATAGAAAAGTATAGTGGAGTGGTATAGAAGCACGATGTCACTTTATAAACCACATCAAGGGGTATTTTTCCTTCTGTTTCAATTATATCAGCACATTGCACTTGCCATTGATACATTTCCTACCAGGGAAGTAGCATGATCCAGCCTTTACTTTGTCCTGGCCTGCCAATGTGCTGTCTGATATGGCATTGCTCTTCATGGGCTTCCAGACTCTGAAGGAACAGCTGAGGAACCTGGTGCTGCTGGTGGATGCAGCGTGTGCCCATATGCAGAGAGCTCACAGTGTCTACCATGCACTGTTCAGCAGGTGTGCCCCTCCTGGCAGGTCTCTACACAGATAAATAAAATAAAATAATCTTACTGAGGTTTATATTCATATGCAATGTTTTTTTTTTCTAACTTTTGCAGTTCATTGAAATTGGATTTCTTCAACATTTCTTATCAACAGCTGGAAGAACTGGTACAGCTAAAATTTCAAATTTGTTGTTTCATTGTTCAGTTGACCTGAGTTAAAGATTAATCTTTTAATATATAACCATTAAACTCCACAAGGGCTTTTGTTGAAATATAAAAAAATGGTTATACCATATGGGTCAGTGTTTCCCAATCCAGTCCTCAGGGATTCACAGACAGTTCACGTTTGCAAAAATGTGGACTGTCTGGCAGGGAGCTGGGAGGGAGCAAAAACCAGGACCGGTCCTGCGTCTCCAAGGACCGGATTGGGAAACACTGATATAAAGTAAACTGATCTTAATGTCTTGTCCTAATATTAGATCAGAAGTCTGCAGGCTGCAACCAACCTTTACTGATCATTGTTTTTATTGTGGCTCCTCAGGTGGCCAGTGACATGCAGGCCTTGATGGAGATGGTGTGTGGGACCTTGGAGAAGGACAGCAGTCACATGACACAGCCCATGTGGGACACACTCTTTGAACTCTATATGTCCTTGAAGACACTCCACACTTTAGAGAATTTCTGGCCCTGAAGTGAGTACTGGTGGGTCTATGGATTCTTTTGACTGGGACCTTTAAGTAAAAGGCATGAATAAGGCAGCAGGTGATATCTTTATAGTTCATAATTTTATTTTAAAGAAGCACAATGATTTTTTCCAGGGACATGAAGACATTGGCTTTAACGGGATTCCAAGAGTTGTTTAAGACCACTATTCACAAGTGGCTTCAAATAGTTTACGAGAAATCTTGTGAGAAGATCCACAAAGCTGTGGAAGCGGAGCAGATATTGACAGGCACAATGTCTGTAAATTTCCAGCCATAAGTGTTTATTTCTGAACAGTTATCTGAAGGCCTGGGGCAGACCTTAGACAGGATGCCAGTCCATCACAGGACACACAGTCTCACGCTATGGGCAAATCTGAAACTACACTTCACCATACCTTTGAACTGTGGGTGGAATCTGGAGAACCCAGAGGAAACCTACATAAGTATTAGAAGAGCAGGCAAACGAGACACACAGAATCGGAGGAGGAATGTAAACCCACGGCCCTAGAGGTGTGACACCACAGATGTACCAGCTGAAATGCTCCAAACATATGCTATATATTAATTATTCTTCATTCTTTTTTTGCAAATGTTTTCTTCTTCCAGTGTATTATTTCCATATGCCCCAGTAATCTCTGTACTCTGTGTTTGTGTAATCGTGCATGGTTGTGATCATGGCAGTTTGATTCAGGCTGCAGTCTCTCCAAGCACAGTGCCTCAGCAGACCATGTGACCTTCTGCTTCAGCCAGGTTCAACACCTGTGGCTGCAGCTGGCTTGGCCTGATTCGTCAGGAGACTTCATCTTCAGGGTCCGCCTGGCGGATGTGAGGGACTGTTACTGGCTCTAAACTATTACCCATAACTGGTTAAAAAGGGGGGTGGATTTAGAGGAGAAAACTTCTTGAATGTTCAGGACCTATGAACTATGACCTTTGAAACCTGGATCAACATTACCAGACAAAAACAGTAAAAACATCCATAATGAGAACAGAAAGAAAATCAGTATGAAAGAAACTATAAGAATCTTTGAAGAGTGGTGTGACCTTAGATATTTCCATTTTTTGCAGGATGTATGCAATGTAAGCATGCTTTACTGTCAGCTGATCAAAAGAAAAATAGAGATCAGTATTCAGGAGGAGGGCAATCGTCTCACCCCACAGGTACTAGATCTGCAGCTGGTTCTGATATGATTAATTATAAAAGGAAATTAAGACATTGCTTCATTCCAGACATCCCATTAATACTAAAAGGATACCCCCCTCCACCTTATTTCATATTTCTACTCCTCAAATCCAAGAACTATTAACATGAAACTGATTCTTAGCGTTATGGATTGAGTCCTAATTATGATGTGCTTCTGTATTGGTTCCTGTCACCCAGTCCGTGTTTTTTAATGATTGTCTCTGCTAGCTGTGCGTCGCACTGAACAACAATGAGCATGTGCGCGTGTTCCTGGGGAACATGTCCCATGTCCTGGGCTGGCAGGGGGGACAGGAAGCCACGGCAGGAGCCCAGCAAGCAGACAAGCAGCAGCAGGTCAGCAGGGCCCACTGTGACCAGTTCTGCAATACTGATGCTGACCTGCAGAGGGAGGTCAAGTGCATGATGGCGCACCTCACTGATAAGGTGGGCAGCACTTCCTGACAAAGATACAAGCGAAATAAAACAAAAATCATAAAACAAGCGAGTGCAGCATAAAAATATTGATTTTACCACCATGTTGGTTTCTGATTAAGGTCCTTACCTGGGAATTGCCCTAACTAGTTAATTCAGAGGTTGAAGTTTCAGTGAAAAATCTGGTTTAAGAAATTTTAGAAATAGAAGTCAAAAGAAATGTAAGTACCTTTTTTGCTGAATGTACACTCACCTAAAGGATTATTAGGAACACCTGTTCAATTTCTCATTAATGCAATTATCTAATCAAATAATCACATGGCAGTTGCTTCAATGCATTTAGGGGTGTGGTCCTGGTCAAGACAATCTCCTGAACTCCAAACTGAATGTCAGAATGGGAAAGAAAGGTGATTTAAGCAATTTTG